AACGGTATCTGATGGGAGATTTATGGCCATCAGATAGCGTTCCCCCACTTTAAAACGGGGGAAACGGTATCTGATGGGTGAAATATGGCCATCAGATAGCGTTCCCCCACTTTAAGACAGAGGAAACGGTATCTGATGGGTAATATTGAGCATTAAATTGCATTGCCCTGTTTTTAATTCATATAGCATTATGCTATCTATCTATCTATCTATTATAATTATAATATATACAACATATTATAATTATAATATATACAACATATATATTATAATTATAACTATAACATATATTATGTATTATAATTATAATATATGTATAAAATATATATTATTTATTATAATTATAATATGTATAACATATATATTTATTATAATTATTAGTATTATTACTATTAGTTTCCCGCAAAAACGTGAAGAAAGTGTGACAACTTTGCCGAAACATGTTGTTTGAGCTTTCACGGTGTCCGGAGTTCCCCAAACAAGCGCGCTGAACAAGCGCATGCTTGCTACACGCGTCCTTTCTCAGTGCTCATAACGAACACGCGCATATTTTGCCGCCTGGGCGGTGCGGAGCGGCAAGAAGACTCAGGGGGAAGGTATCTGATGGGGAAACGCGGATTGACTTAACAGGGGCATCAACTTATTTTGGGGGGGCAAAATGAGTCTAGTAGCTGAACAGACAACATCAATAGCATACAGCAGGGGTCCCCAAACTACGGCCCGCGGACCGGATCCGGCCCACCTCCGCATTTGGTCCAGCCCCCTGAACAATAACAGAGAGCATTCAGATTTTTTTTTCATTTATTGTATTTTCCGGTTTATATGTGGATTTTTCTTCAACCACCAGGGGGGGCTCTTTAGCAGGAAGTGTGTCCTGTAAACTCTGGGTGGTTTGTTTTGCATGGCGCATTGCTGCCATCTGTTGGACTTTTAGGGAACTGCTTGACTTCTATATTTAATCAGTACGGTTGTTTGCTAGCGGTAGAGCAGATGAACACACGTGTCTGTTATGAACGCCGCATTCCAGGTCGAGTTCTTCGAAGCGATTCCTGTAAGTAGCAGCTTATACTTCAAACCAAGCCTTTATGTTAACATATGAGAAATTAATATGTTAAAGTTACTTTCCCTCAATGGAATATATACTAGTCAGTCCCAGTGATCGTTTCACTCATGGGTTTTGCCCATGTGCTTTCTCGGTAAAAATCAATCAAGAAACGCATCCCCCCACACCCAATCAACAATCTCCGGCCCCCCACCAGAGAAGGGAAAAGTTATTTGGCCCTCACAAAAAAAGGTTTGGGGACCACTGGTCTACAGGCTACTTGTTAACAAGGTTAACGTGCTGTATTGATATGAGCTAGTCATCTTTTAGCTATCATTACCTGCATCCAACAGCTTTACTCAACTCAGTCGGTTAGTTTGGGGAAAAAATTCTGCAAAGTTATTTACGTTTTGCAACTTGTTAGCAACATATTAAACTGTTTTAACTGCTGAAAAAGGTGACAGAGGACACGGATATGGGAAGGGCAGGAGCTCCTATTTTATCAAATTGATAAAGGAATAACAGGCTGTTGGCCATTCCAAGGTAAAAACAATAAACAGCTTCCAGTCCGGGGCCCGCTACGGACACCGTGAAAGCTCAAACAAGGTGTTTCAGCGAAGTTATCCCACTTTTTCCAACTGCATGCACCCTAATCAGACGCACACAATGCGTGTTTTCTCCCAATCTATGGGAGAACGGTACCTGATAGGGAAACGCGAATCAACATGCCTTCAAGTAGAACTTTTTTTTAAACACATGCGCACTCAGTTTCAAAGAACCTAGCACCAACTAGGCGCAGCAAGCATTACACGTTTTCGATTTGTACCATTACTGTGTAAACACAGATCGTAATTAGAACGTTTTCGTGTAAACGATCCAACAAAAACGGAACAAAACTTCTGTTTTTGTTGGATTGTTGTCGTGTAAACGCCCCCTAAGTTACACCAACTCTGGAACTTTGTCTAACAGGGAAGCGGGAATTTGCTGATTTTTGTGTAAATTTCCACGAGAATTCTTAAGAAACTGGAGGGACTGATTGATATAATATGACAGTAAACAGAAAAAAAAACTGCATTAATTTGACTGATATAAAACGTGAGCACTCTTAGTGTTTAGTCTAGATTCTAGACTCTAGAATCTAGAGGGCCACATAAAAAGCTATGGCGGGCCTGATTTGGCCCACGGGCCTCAAATCTGACACATCCGATTTAAAGGATGCAGACCTCTAATCTTTGAGGACTTCAGTTTGAGACACTGGATTAAAGGAAGCTATTTTCTAAAGTTCCCCTAACAAATACATATAAACTGAATGTGGATTTTTTTTTTCTAAGGGTCTAAAAAGATGAGTGATAACATCAATTTTTTTTTTCAACTTCTTTTCCACTCCCACCTGCTCTAGGGGTTAAACACCAAATTTAGAGTTGTAATGTAGAAAAACATCTACAGTCACGTCACAAAACCTCCTTTTCCTCTTTACAATTAATTACCGCCACCCTTCCCTCCCTCCATCTTTTCCTCTCTCCATCCATCACCCCCCCAGCCCTCTTTATTCCTTTCATCCCCCTCTCCACCTGCCCTGTGGCACCCCTCCATTTGTCCAGTGAGGTCATCCCTGTGTTCTCCCTAATCCTCTGAGGTGCTCGTCTTTCTGCCTCTGCTTAATCCGCCCATGGCCCCCAGCCCTGACCACACACACACACACACACACACACACACACACCCCCACGCACATACACACACACACACACACACATCTGCTCATATGTGCACATACTCAGTTATTCTTGTATTGTATGCTCAGTCCCACAGTAATTCCACAGCATGCATGCACGCATTGTTATTCAGTCGGTTATATATATATACACACACATAATGTCGCTCCACCTCTTGGTATAAAATCTGTCCGTCTTTGTGCGTTGGACGTACTGTGTGTCCCCATCCATCTGTGTGTCTCCTGTGTGTGCTGCCACCGCCTTATCTTACAGGTATGTCCATCTCTAAGACCATCTAACAGCTTCTGTGATCTAATGCAGCTAAAATGAAAATTACTTCCTCTGGTTTCTATTCATCTTACTAAAGCATTAAACACTATTGTTTCGTGACTATTAGTTCTTAATACTCCGTTTCTCTACATTATAATTTTATTAGGACCAGCAAAAAAAAAAAAATCTGTTTTAACACAGTGACTCTTGGATATTCAGTGTTCCAATTAGAAGTCGAACTGCCAACATTTTTCTTTTCCATCATTCAATATAAAGCTGTCATTTTTAAATCAAACTTTTACCAAAAGACAAATTCAAAAAGTCTAACGCAACAAAAGCCAAATGCAAATAAAAAAAGGTAGTCATGGTAACAAATTTTAGCTTCAGACAGAAAAAATACAACACAGAGACAGAGATGCTGAGCCAGCTTTTTTTATTTTATTGATGGAAACAGATTATTTTTCCCAGCTGTCTCTGCTGTCCTTTAAAAAACAAACACAAAGTCTTGACAGATTGTGTTAGTACAACATAAGCCCACAGTTTAAATATTTCAGTCATATCCATCGCCTAAAACTGATGTGACATACGTAATGAATCAGTTTGATACTATGGCGCTTACAACTTGTCACCTGCGCTGTAAACAACCATCTTGCACTGCAAAGAGAGAAGTGCCGAGTCGAAATGTGTGGCTGTTATTGCTAATTCAATATTTGGAATCATAACCGACACGGCTTCCTTCACTTCCTCTGCTGCCATCGCTAAAACTACAGGCAGGCAGACTACCATTTGAAAAGCACAGAAAACCAACGCCATCATTCACAACTTCTTCTGTTCACTGATTGGAGGAATTAAAATCAATGGGAGAAATGGAGTAGGTGTTGGAAATAACTTATATTTTTACAGTGATTGCATATCAAATGTAGGCTATGCAGAGGCATAGTCTGCTTTATTAATACTACCGTAATTCATTCATGCACTCTATGCTGAGCATCTAAAGAAAAAAAAAGAAACAAAGATCAGCAGTTTTTTCCTCTGGCTGAGTCAGTTTTCAGTTGTTTTATTCGGTCCTCAGTGGCCAAACTTCAGGTTTGACCTGGTTTCATAATTTTTGGCCTTATTGACAATAAACTAAAACATTGACAATTGTATTAAAATCAACAAAATAGACACATTTTTACTTTAAAAAATCCAGAGTCTTGCCATATTGCATTAGTACAAGACAAACCCACAGTTTATAATTGTTTTTGAGTTTTATTTTTTTCTTATTATTTCTATTTCAGCTGTACGATTGGCTGTTGAGTAATAACAGGTCAATACATGTGACAGAGCACATTTATTATGAATAAATGTGGTTCTATTTGCTCCAAAATTACAATGAATGCAAATAAACCTCTAATATAAGGGAATCTATTTTTGGTACCTCATCTTTTTTCTGAGATGAAAAAGCATTCATTTGCATCAACAAACACACTTGCAGGTCAGATTTGCTTCGGACACAAGCGACACAAACTCCAACACCAATCAAGCTAAAATGTCCAATCTGATCAGAAGCTTATTTGGATCAGCATCCCCTCCGACAGTGTTGTGTTTCCTCCCTCCAGCTGGCGCTTGGCCCCGCCCCCCTTAGCAACAGCTGAACAGTAGCTGACATCCTCACCACCAGGCTGGCTTCGGTCCACAGCTATAACCTCACTGAAGACACTTTTTAATCTTTGAAAAAATATTCTGTTCATCACTCACATTTCCCAGCAGCCTTTGCATTACCCGGAACCCAGCGAGAACACGGCTGGCTTCACTCCTAGCAGCCAGCCGAGAGCTGCGTGCTGCCGGACATTTATACCCACACAAATGTTTGTCCTTGACCACTGAGGCTTCGGAACATGACGCTATCCCCAAATCCCCTGTTTTGTTTTGTTTTTTTGTTTTTTTTTCTTTTGATTTTTTTCATCCCTATTCCCCTCCAGCGCTCCACCCCAGTCCTGACCCCGGGTAGCTTCCAGTTGTTTCTACAGAGGTGTTGAAATGCACACCTCTCATTCATCTTTCCAGACGTTTTTCACACCCTCTCACCCCCCTTTCCACTCTGGATTGTCTTTTATGTTGGGAAGAGAATGTTCTGGATCTCATGAAAAGGAAAAGCATTGCTGAAGCATAAATCTGCCACCATGCATGATTTGCAGTTAGTTTTCCCACCACAGTGTTTTTCATGAAGGCCAAAATTGGCTTTGGTTTCATCCGAACACAGAACCTTCTTAGAAATGTCTACAGTCACAGACAACCTTCTTTATGCTTTTACTTTTGCCACTAAGCAGGATTACTGTTGAGCCAATATTTTACATGTGGCGTCATATTTAAATATTTAACTCTGGAGAACTGCATACGAAGCAGTTCACAGTGAATGACTAGTTGTGTTTCCTTTACATCTGTTCACAAATCTTTCTCTGTATTCTGCCAACGCCGAAAAACCCCCCAAAAAAAACATTTTCGCAACTGCGGTGTTTCCATGAAAAGGGAAATGAAATTAAAATCGCACGTGAATAAGCTTGTTCACACGAGAAGCCATTAATCATTTCAACGACGGATGTAGACAGTTAAGTTTGATACACTCCAGTTCAGCCATAGTGCTAGCCTTCTTCATCTATCTGCCAATCAGAGGAGACATCCCCATCTTTGAGTGTCCGCCTACATATGCGGCTTTCTGGGAAAACTGTTTTACAAATTTATGGATTCAACATGTTTTTGGGGGTTAGTTACACTAAATCTGTGAAATTGCTCAACATCAGCACAAGCATCAACTTTCATCAAGTAAAACTAAATGCTTGCACGCAAATTTTTCTGGAAGATACAGTCGGTTTCTTTACAGAGCTCCATTCCTCAGTGGTCCGAGTGACAACAGATCAGTAGCAGCACATGGGCGGGTTAGAGACTTACTGCTGTGCTGCTGACAGCAGAGCTACTTCAGGCTATTTGATCATGTATGATGGCTGTCACAAGAGCCGACGGAGGAGAGACAGAGCAGAGCTGTCAGCGAAGCTTTAGTCTGATCTTTGATTTAACGCTGCGGTCACATGGCTGCCCTAAGTTCTGCCTAAACACAAACCCCTAAAGCATGCAGAAAAAACATGGCAACAGGAGTTAAATAAAGTTTAAAGTGAAATTATTAGAGAAAGGAACATGGGGGAAAAAACATATTATTTGACATGATGAGTGATCTTATTGTAAGCTTATTGTAGTGTAAAATGAACCTCTGACTTCTATTAAAAGTGCCAGACTCATTATAGATTATCTCTGCTTATCAGCAAATGGGTTAACATGGAAGTATCAGTTTTAATTTAATTTAAAATTAAAAAAAAAAAACATTCAAATCTGGCAAGGGCAAGTACAGATTGTTTTAGCAGAACTTGTTCCTTGGTAACTGATTTAAAAACACATCAACCCACTTAGAACCAGTCTGACAGAAAGCCTGTGATGTGAGGAGCCAAAGTTGGGCTGAAGGTCCAAGAGGCTGAATCTGTGTGTGTGTGTGGGGGGAGGGGGGTGCATGGGGCAGGGAAGTGACAGAAACACAATTGTTTATGGTTTCTATGCATTTGACCCCTCTGTTACATTCTCACCTGTTGACACCTCATCAATCTCCCATGCTCCCCTGCCAGGAAGGTGTCAGCAGGCCGCGCCCAGGGGAACCGTCCGTCTGTGTCAGGGTCTATGTCAGGACAATGGCAGCTCAGATGGACAATTTAAAGCCAAATCTCTCAGTGTGTGTGTGTGTAGGTGTGTGTGTGTGTTTTCTCCAAAGTGATTAGTTACAGGATAATGTAAAATATAGTGAGGATGACTCACTCCTGCTTCTGAGCTGACAGTAGGCAGTATTATGTTACCATAGTTTTATTTTGTACATAGCAGTGGTGTTGGATACAGTATAATGAGGTGCAGTTGCTGTTTCTATTGTTTTCTTGTTTTATAAAGGATGTGGCATTTCTAGGTTATGTTTTATTTAGACATTGTCACATTTCTGTTACTTTACAACTACAAATTCCCATGTTTTTAACTGTTCTATTAAAAAGAAACCTGCTACAGGATGCAGAAGACTGTAGCTGTGTTTGTCTGCAACAGGGAATTCTAATAAAAAACACCGGGCCAAAAACTGGGAGCTGGGGAACACCAGCAGTTTCAGAGTGAAAAAGTTGCATTTGTACAACCTGAGAAAAAAAGACCCATATAGTAAACCATAAAGTTGATGTACTGATGAAAGGTATGAAAATTTGAACAGATGATAAAAATTTTATATGATTCTAAAATCTAAGGAGAAACCACCATTACCTGTGGTCAGAGATTTTGAATTTAAGAAAATTTCTAGAATATCTGTGAAATTTCTGAGCTCCAAAAGTTGAAAATTTGAGTAAAAATTCAGAAATTTTGAGACTGTCAGTTTTTATTTTTGTTGTTTTTAAAAAAAAACAAAAAAAACCTAAAATTTCAGAGCTCCAAAATTCAGAAAATTTAACATTTTCAACTTTAAAAGGTCAGAAAATTTTCCCAGGTTTTTGCAGAAAACATGTGAAATCTCACATTTTCTGAGATTTTTCTTTCTCACGAATTTTCGAATTCGAGAGTTTGGAAATTTCAAGCATTTTTCTAGAAAATTTGAGATTCATCTCAAAATTTCTGAGTTTATTTTCTCACAAATTTTTGACTTCAGGAGCTCATAATTTTCCAAGATTTTTCTAGAAAATCCCTTAGATTAATCTCAACATTTCTGAGGTTTTTTTGGTGGAAATTTCCTCTCCCCTTTTTTGTTTCTATCTACAATGACCCTAATACACCGTCACAGTAAACATTGAGAACAGGCATGAATTTTTAAATGATTTGATCAATTAGGACCTCTGTGTATAGAAGCAGTACCTCAGGGCAGAAGTAATCTCATAATGAGAGGAGAGATAGAGTCATTGTGCAGTTACTGGAGTTTTGCAGAATGTTCCACAGGACTGCAGTGTGTGTGTGTGTGTGTGTGTGTGCGTGCGTGCGTGCGTGTGTGTGTGTGTGTGTGTGTGTGTGTGTGTGTTTGAAGGCATCCCTAACACATCGTTGCATATTGAACCCAGTTGTGAGGGAAGTAACTTCCCTCAGACATGAGTGTGTGTATGTGCATTTGCTGGTGTGTGTCCGTGTTAGTCTGTGATGGACGGGTAATAAAAGAAAGTTTGTAACGTTCACAGGCCTCAGATTCGAGAACAGAAGCCGTTTTTATTTCCAGCTATGTCAGACGCTGAAGAGGAATACGAGTGAGTGGAGTTTCTCTAATTAATCCTGATTTATTACATGTTGTCACTCAATATGTTTGCAAACTCTTTTTACTCTAATGTGTCTCTGCAGGGACCAGGCGGTGGGTAAGTTCCAGGACCGACACGTTTCTTGTTGTTTTCAGAGAGTTCAGGTTAACTCTCTGAACTCTGTTGTTTTGCATCTCACTAGAAGTTGAGGAGGAGCCAGAGGCGGAGCCGGAGGAAGAGGAGGAGGAAGAGGAGGAGGAAGCTCAACAGACTGAAGAAGATGGAGGAGGTATGGTTAAAATTAAAAAAGAAGAAATGTGCAGATTGTAACTGCGTATTGATAAGATGTTATGCTGTTAGTTTTTGTTTAATGCATTAACATATTTTTCCTGCTTTCTGATTGGGTGTCACTGTGTTGGTCCGGGCCATTAGAACAGCAGGAGTACCAAGGTATGACAAATCTCTGACTACACAAACTTTATCTGCTAGCAAAAGTACATAAAACAAACTAAAATACTCTCACTAGTCAGTTTGAGACTGAGGTTTTATCCCAGATCTTATATACAGTGTCTATATCACTTGACATTGTTTAGCACCACAAAGCTGTTGTGTTTAGGGCACCCAAATGTCTGGCTCCTGCCCTGGCCGTGCCAGAGGAACATCTAAATGTTCCAAACACAGAGCCTTGAGGGCTGGAGTTTGACCCGAGCTTGTGCTCGAGAATAATGTTCTCTAGAAAACCTCTAAAGATTAGCAGGACAGTTATTTGTTTACTAGTAGGCTCAG